TGAGGCACAGTGGCCTCATCAGATGGAAGGTTCCTTCCTGAAAATGGGCAAAGCTATTCTTAGTTTTCCATTTATCTCTTCCTTCTGGATGTGGCTGGCTGCTGCACTGCCCTTTCACCTCCTGTGGACTTTACCCAGTTGCACGCACACTTGGCTGCTTGTAACACAGCCCAAATTAGAAATAAAACCTTTGGCCTTAGAAATAACGAAAACCCATAGACGTTCTGTTTTTCAGCTCTGCAAACAGAACATACAACAAGGAATTGTTTTTATTTAATTTGTTTATTACACACGGTCTCCTTTTCAAGTGCTACTTCCAGCCACTATGAGCTTTCTGGGCAGAGGTAGGTTATGCACACTGATATCTACTCCTTCTCCCCCCAAAGGATACATTTTGTAAAACATTATGCTCAAATGTCTTAAACACAGCCAAAATACAGCATAAGATATATAAGCATCCACTTATCTTACATATTCACAAAAGGGAAAAACCCAAACAAGTAGAGTTGGCAAAAAATATTTGGCAAATACTAAATCAAATAAAAACGCAGCTTTGGTGTCCTCTCAGCAGTGTACACAGAACTGCTTTCAGATGAAAAAAGGAATGGGAAGGCAGGACAGAGCAAAGACTTGCATTGGTGGCAACATGCTGTTACTTCAGCTCAACTGCATTTGAAATCCTGCATGAGGACATGAAAGGATGCCTTCAGCAAACTGGGCTCCACCTGCCTCCTCCATCCAACGGGACACGAACAAGCGATGTCCACCACTCCGGAGAGGGCTCTTGAGCTACACAGGCACTTGGCTTTTCTGAGTAAATGAACCGGCGAACGGAGCAGGAGCTGAAACTGCTCTGTCAACACAAGATCTTCAGTATTTTAAGCTAAAAGAAGACTACAGCCCAACTGCTTCACCCACGAGTGATGGTGCTCCTACCACTCAAAGACGCTCAGCAGAGAAATGCCCTTGATTCTAAGTTCACCCATCCAAAGGATGCAGAGCGTATCCTGGAAAAGGAGGGTTGACACCAAGTGGGTGTCAGGCTTCTGTCAGAGCTGCATCTTTGCAGCTGCTGAAGTGAAGGGTTTCACTTTGGCAACAGGATCATTCCTTTAGGAATGATGCTAATTATAGAACACATTCATTGAGATCCAGGAAAAAATAGACTGGTTTTGCTGAATTCTTTAATAGTGGGGATGAATCATTTTCATACAGCCTTACACCGCTGCCTTTAAGGAAAAACATGCCGTTAACACTACCGCATGGACTTCTTTCTTCTTTAGCCTCTTGACAGAAAGCCTATGTCATGACATCAAGCATAGAGGGTTTGCTGAACAACAAATAAGTGTATTTCACTGCTTGTAAAAGAGGCACAAGAAAAACCACATGGGGATCAGTCAAGCATACACACCAACAAGAGGAAGTATCCTAATAATTATACTCAGTTAAAATTTGAATGCCCATAAGCTTTCCCAGACTTTTCTCACTAAGAGGTGCAAATTGTACCTGCTAATCTGAAATACAGTATTTTCTACATGTCACTGTAGAGATAGTTGCAGCTGCAGACCCCTCTGTCAACAGATTATAACAAAAGAAGCCCATTTCAGAGGTGCGTCATCCTCACCTAATTCTACCCAGCACACTGTATACCATGCAAAGATCAGGAAACATGCTGAATATTTTTTTAAAAAAAGGTTCTCATGGTTGTAAAACATGATGCTTTTTCCCTTTCAGGAGGGCTGGGCCTTTTGGTGTGCCACGTGCTGGTTGCCATCAGCTGGGGGAAGCCACTGGTGCCAACACTCAAGACGGAAAGGAGCTTGCCACGCTTCAAGCTTCAGTAGTTTCACTGTGAGAGGAGAAGGAAGACAAGCTCATGTGATGCCAAAGCAGTCCAGTGGCTGGTGAAAGCGCTGGGGAGGGATGCCAGCTGGGAGAGCAGAGAGGAAAATTTATTTGATTTAAATTTTCGGAAGAGGACAGTTGCACACATACCTCTAAGGGTCTTTGCAGAGACTTCTGAGCAAGCTGCTTCTCCCGCAGAGCTCAGAGCCAGGAATGAGCACGGCTTTCGATGCATTTACACCTCGTCTGGCTGGCACGAACTAAAGACACAAACTGCAAAGAGTTGGGCTGCTAGCAGGTACGTGCAGCGGATGCAGCACTGCAGCTAGACACACCGAGCTTCTTAAAAGCTTCAAGGTGATACAGATGAGCCAACTGGACATTTACTATAAGTGCTCAAAAATTAACATTTCATCCCTGACCTCCTGATTGATGGAACAATAATGCAAGAATCTAATAAATTAATTAGAAAACAAAAAACCCCACCCAAACTATTTGCCTTTGCGAGGCTTGCAAAGCAGAAAGCTGACAAAAACCATACAGACATCTCATGTGACTGACTTCAATCCTTTATGTTGACAGTCTATTTATTCCTTTTTCCATAGCCACAAAATTTACATATGTACAGCTCACTCAGCAGCAAATCTCTCAGGTGCATTGAATGAGCAGATGCCTGCAGGTTTGCTCTCCTTGGCATGACACACACAATAAATCACATTTAAATTTAGAATTGGCAAGTACAAATCCCATGGCTCAGTTTCAAACTCTCAAGGATGCAAAACCAAGCAACTTGGCACCAAGTTTAAAAATACATACAGCGCGTCTAGGAACTAACACTGTACGCAGTGAACAAGTTGAAGACATCTGTACCATTTATGATTATGAATTGATCAGCCTAGGTGTTACCACTCTACTGGCTTACCTCAAAAGCAAGTCAGAATGCCCTGCAAAGTGGAACTGTGGACAGCAACAAATTATTAAAATATAAGGAACTCGTAACTTGAAAGCAGTTCACCTGCATTAATTTTATGAGTGTTCAAGTGTGAATGTGTTACTTTGTGCTATTATTTATGGGAATGTAAAATACATACATGGTTTCAAACGGGTAGAAGACTAGGAAGAACAAAAGAAAAAAGAAAAGCGTACTGTGACTAGGAAGGTGGCTGATAAGGCACAACTCCTGTCGTAAGAGTATTTTGTCCACTTTTCCTCTGTTAGAAGGGGTCTTCCATGAAGGATCCTCACAGGACTGAGGCTTAAGAGTAAGTGAAAAAGTGTGTATATACAGAAACTGAACACTGTGCTAAGCACCTTCCTTTTTCCTCATATTAGCAAGGCAAAAAACCTCAACCCACGTGCATTTTTTATGCTCTATTTATTTCAAAAGGTAGAAGGTTCATCAGGTTGATTTGAGGGAGTTCTCAGCATGAACAACTGTTTCAGAAGCTCTAGCACTATGAAACTATTCAACTACATCACATCCCAACAGATTAAACTACTTCTGGCCAGTTATATTATAGCTATATATTTTAAGTGGCAATTGTGTGAATAACAGGAGTAGGTCTATCAAACACGTTGAAAAAAGTGGATAATACTGTTTTTAAATCTCTGTTGACTTCTGAAGAATACTTGGGCTTATGCACACAAGTGCCCTTCTAAAAAGATGCAGTCAGAAAGCAGTAATTTAGCTTAATGTTACCCCAAACTCTACACATAAGAGAGAAGCAGCTGAAGACGGAGACACTGACACCCAGTGGCTCCCATGCAAGATCTTAATATTTAAAAATACCCTTCAGGTAAGAAGACCACTACTAATAAATCATTTGTAACTTGCCTTCTGCACTCTCATTCATGAAAAAAAATTGCTTATTTGTTCAAACGTCCTAATTTTGCTTTTTCAAGATCATACACAACTGAAATTCTCTCAAGCAGAAGAATGAAGGTAATCCTTCTGTATGCAGCACGTGCAGTTGTTCTTGCAGGCTGGATTGACATAAATGAAAGTCAACTGCTTACAGGAACTCTAAATGTTAGAGTTTAAGAGAATATTGTAAGCTTTTATACCCTCACAACTGCAAAAATAAATTAGTATGCTGCCATGCAATACTTAAATGAGTCGATGTGATCCAAATGAATAAAAATTACGTAACTTAACGCACTATTTTCTCCAAAATTTTCTTACACCTATTCAGCTCTGACTACAGAAAATATATTGATCACAGCTGTATATACTATTTAGTAATTCTTTGTTTCAACAAACTTTTACAGCAGCTATGACAACTCATTTTGATGAGGTAGCATTTAAAAGAGCCCTCAATGAAGATGTGTTCAGTAGTTTCTGGTAAAACTTTTGGTGCTTAGGTGTTGGAACACTTCACACTCTGTACATTGATGGCTGGTGAAAGGGGAGAAACAAACGACTAAACAAATTCAGATTTGGTGAAAACTGGTCCAACTCCACTAGCCTTGAGATCAACAATACTGCTGCATTAATTTACTCTTCCTCCTCTTAAATAAATAAAATCGAATGCACAATACATCCAGAAGCATGAATGCCTACCATTATTAATATAAAGTCTCTTCACCTCTAACTATTTCTGCAAAGTGGAATCCAACTAGTTAAATCTTTAGGCTTGTTCACATTTATTTTCTGTGACAAAATAAGGAACTGCATTTATAACTATGTTGGATATAGGTGGAATTTATGATATGCTTCAGGCTACATATAAAACAAGTTTTGTATTCTAGCAGTTCAGGATTTAAAATAAATAAAACACATAATTGAAGACTAACTGAATTATGATAATCAAAAAGAGTTATAAAAGCATCTTTGGTTAGTTAACGTCTACTTTAAAATGGTTAATAAAAAAAGCTGGAGTTGCAACATAGCACAGAGCAGCAGGCCCTCCTCGGCAATGCTACATGTCCAAGCATCTCAAGGAGAACAATGAGGAAGTTAATCTTGCAGCGAGAAAACAAAAAACTGTGTGCAGTCAATCTCTACATCTAGGACTTAAAAATACAAGTTTAAAATTTTGGCAATAATTTTAAAAAACAAACAAACAAAAACATAAGTGTTTTTTGTTTCATTACAATTCTCTGTCGGGACAGATCCACAGAACTAACTTTTATAAAAATACAACATACTGCATATTTTTTATTTAGGGATTTAATTTATATACCACAAATACTGCTTTTAATATAAGTACAATATAATACAGCTTTATTTATGTAACTGCTGGTGTTCACTTTGGATCATGAACTGAATGGCATGCTGTGCTGTTGAAACTTTAATAAAACGGCCTCTAGTTAAAGTTCTTCAGAGTATAAAATCATGCAGAATCTACATCCTATATGATACAACCAGTACAATAATTGAAGCTGGTAGCCTACAAACAGCCTGGACTGTCTTCTGAGTTTGTTCTTGAAGCGTCCACAAGTCAGCCATCCTTTTCTTTAGGCAGAAAAGAAGAATTTCAGTTTTGTCTGCAGAACCTCATCACAACTGCTGACACCAGCGACAACAAAGTGCGCAGTTATCGGTCGACAAATCTTCATCACCCAACGCAGCTCAGAGCACGTGTTTAGTCCGCATCGGCAAGGCTGGGGTTAGGAAGTTTTGCGTTTTCCTCCTGTGACTACTGGTCGTGCATATTCCACAAAATCATCTATGAGAACAGGCCACGCTCCTAAAGTCAAGCAATCCAGAAATTAATATATTGTTATCAGAAATAAACTGGCGTAGTCTCTAAATGCAAAGGATCAGAAGGTCACTTTGACATTTCTAGCCTAGTACAGCTAACGTGCATGATATGATAAACACTTGAAAAAAGCACTTAACTAAACATGTGAATCTCTTCTTGCAGCAACAGTTCTCAGTACAAATAAAATGTAAAAACACCAACCATAGATATGAACACTACAAAGTTTACAAATATTAGTTGATAGCAAACCCATGGCATTCCTATTAGAGCCATTCATAACTAAGGAAATATTTCAGAACACAGCCACTCCAAACCAGGATTTGCAGGATGCGTAAGAGTGCAAGTTGCTTTTAAGTTAGTAAAAATACATCCATGCAGACATAAGTAGAAAAATTATGTATTTCCTTGCAGCTGGCAGCACTTTTGTACAAAAATAATAGTTTCACTAAAACTCTCACAGCATAACGGTTTCAAATAGCATGTGCTATATCATGGTGTGAATTTTTTTACTTCTAATTACGTATTACAGCAAACTAGTCAACCTTCTTATCAGTACTGTTTCGACAACAAGTATGACACTATATTTGCAGTTAAACGTTTAAGGGTAAACAGATTATGACAGAAGGCAGCAGCATGCTCTGTTGTTTGTTTACAGCAGTATTTTAATTCTGACGTACCAATTTCTGAAGATACTCAAATTTCACTTACCTTCTTCATCATAGTTGGACATATCATCTGCAATCATATTTCCAAAGTCTAACAAAAGATTCCAAGTATCTTTTGGAATTGACCTTTTATGATGTTCCTATAAAGGAGGGAAAAATGGTACTGTTCAATCCACACTGTTTTCAAATTCCATAGCAGAATTTTATATTGACATATAAAGAAATACGTTTTACAAGTGTTTCAAAATATATCGCAACCAAAGAAGGCAAAAAAGTTTGACAAGTCTCTGACAGTAATTTTATTTCTTCTGTTCTGCTTTTAGAGTATGTGTTCCTGCTTTATTACCTGAAGATAGCAGGTGACTGACAGGGAATTAAATTTCAACACCTAGTTCTGGTTTGCAGCAAAAAGTTGCAAATGCATGAAAAGACTTGCTTGGTGAAGGGTTGGGTTCTCTTTCATTTGTGATTTTGTGTTGTGGAGTGATTTTTTTTTATTACTATTATTTGTTTGAGGTATCTTTTTAAGCAGTAGTACTCTAATGTACTGAGAAGAACAAACTGCATTTCAGAAATCTGGAACTTGATCAAAATGAGATTGATGTCCAACACAAGAGCACACATGTCCTCTCACTCAAGCCAAAGGTCCTATCTTGACTGCAAAAAGTATGACAAGCAAACACACCTTCTGAAGAAGGTTCCTTAAAACAAAACACAACCAACAGTCTCCCCATCTAAAGAGTCATAACTTGCTTCTTTCTTAGATTGATTTTTTTAAAATCTAAAAAGTTTCCTCTAAAGTAAACATTCAGGTTTAATATTTGTAGCCAAGTAAGACAGTTCATACCACACCATCTGGGCTACTGCTTAGAGATCTGCAGAACTGGTTGTTGTAAGAAACTTGATCACATAGCCAAGTGGGGAAAAAACCGTTAAGACTTTTCATCAGTCACATCTATGGATCTGAGTGTGGATGTGTTAGGTGTATCAAGGCATGAAAATATGAAATGTTTTCAAAAGTTCTCTTGATGAAACTGGTACCTTCTTCAGAGAATAAAATAAATACACTGTCGAAAAATTTAGAAAAAAAAAATGAAGGAAATATTGCAAAAAGTATACACTTCTCCTATTAAGCACTGGCCATTAAGGAACAAAATGCAGAAGGACCTCTTAATTCTCCTAAACTACAGGTAAAAAGATAAATTGGAAAAAAATTATCAAGATAAGTTATACATTATGTAACATCACATAAAGTTCGCAGAAATGCAAATGTAGAAACACTGATGAATTAATCAGGTCTTTAATAAGAATATTTTGCAATTTCAAAAGTTTAATTTATGCATCCTTATTCCATTGCCCACAGAACTGCACTGGTAACAGAAAACTGTCAAGATCAGTTCACAGCTATTATCCAAAAAAATCAGTCAAAATAATTACTTAGACAAGAACTTATGCTTTAAAAGAAAAATCTCTCCAGTTAAGTCAGTCATAATAGAATCAACACTTTTAAAAGTCTGAGTTTGTGGCTTTAACACCACAAAAGTCAGGCCATGGCTGACAGTAAATCACAGCTGTCTTGAGAATAAAGACAACACAGGTTCAATCTACAGTCACATCTTCCTTTCATGCAGCAGCTTTCCTAAGTAGGAGGATACGAGATCAAACAAATGGAACGTGCCATTGCTTTGCTAAGTCTTTTTGCATTCTTCTCAATTTGAAAATTACATACAGATGGATTAATTTGGTTTGATTGAAGACGCTCCTCATACAATTTTTCAAAAAGGAAAAAGTTCCAAGGAACTGTTCAGACATCCTGTCTTTTTCTTCATTGTGAGCATGCAGCCTACACAGACAACTGTGGACTAAGACAGTCAGGAAGGAATATGGCATGTACTTACCAACAAAAATTTATTCCAAAGATCTAGAAACTTAAACCTTCCTGACAAGACTAAATTCCAATATGCAATTGCCATTTCTAGATCTGCAAAAGACAAAGAGACATGTAAATATTACAGCACATTATATATAATAAAACTCCTACGGGTAAACAATTAATGTTAAATCCAGTATATTATGATAGAAATGAGTAACATTCTTCTAATATCACCATAAAAATGATAAGGAACTGTTTTCTCTCACTGACCCAAAAGATGGAAGAAAAGCAGCAATGGTATAAATTGTATATTGAACATCACAATCATAAAGACTAAAATATTTTTGTCACCGTCCAGCAGTGCTGGATCAAAGCTACTTTCAAACTACAGAAACTGAACAAAAGTGTCAATAACTCTGTCTAAAAAAAAAAAAAAAAAAAAAAAAGAGTCCACCTCAAACTCAACAATGCACAATCACAGCAAATACTGACAGAAACACAAACATTAAGGTGCTAATTCCTGTTACTTTTTAGCATTTAGACACATTTTACCTCAAAGGGAATTTAAGGACACAAGAGAATTAAAAAAAAAAACCAAACAAAAGACTTGTGTTCTACAGCAGTCCTTACAACAATACTCTTCTTTTTTTTGGAATCATTCAGCAGACAAACTCCTGCAACCTGAGAATATAAGCACAAGCAAGCAGCCCTTATTCTGCATGAAGACCAACGATCTGAGAGAGCAGAGCTCAGCTCACGCACGTCAGCAGGCAGACACAGCCCGACCACACATCTAAGTGGAAAATGTTGGAGGAATATTAGATGGAGCACAAGGGTAGAAAGGATGTTTTCCTGAAGGAAAACTGTCAGGCTTCATTCTCAGCAACTCACAATACCTAATGGCTTTTGCGCTTGGTCCTCCAGGTAACAGTGCTAAATCCACAAAATAGAGCACAGCCTTCCTTAAACCACAAAGAGGTGTCAGTCTGTGCTTTCAGTGTAAAGTAAGTATAAACAAAAAACGAAACTTAACAGAGAGTATCCTCACAGCAGATAAGATGGAAGCTCGATCTCTACCCGGAGGCTGGATTAAAATGATCTCTAAGATCCCTTCCAGCTTGGGCCATTCTGTGATTCTATAAGAGAGGAGCACGGTACCCACCACATTACAAACCAGAGGACACTTCGCCACCTGAAATCAAGTTTCAGCTCTGAAGGAAATGTTCCAGATTTTAACACAGCCAGTTCCCTAGAGTCTGCACCACAGAGGCCTGAGGCCCAGGCAAAGCGCGATAGTCAAGAGAATAGTAAAGAAATGCAATACGCCTGTGCCCAGCTGTATAGAGACAGCGCTGATGGCGTTTGCTCCACTATGATTGGAGCATGGAACTTGCTTTATGCCCTCACAAAGTTCTTCCCGTCCTTCCTGTCTTTGCCACCGTCCTCGCTTTTTGCAAAAATTAAGTGGAAGAGAATAGTTAATAGCATTTACTTGCTGTTAATAGCATGTACTTGCTGTTAGCCCAATTGAAAAGCAAAAGAAATGGGAAGGAAGAAACCTAAATGATCTGAAGGGTTTCTAAACTTCACTGTGAAGTGTCTGGCTTTGATCCCATTCACTCAGGCTGATTTAAGAAGACTCAACCTTTCTAAGCCAATCTTGCAAATCTATCACACAGTCACAGAATTGTTTAGGTTGGAAAAGATCTTTAAGGTTATCATGCCCAACCGATAGCCATCATGTGACAACATTAAGCAAAATGCACTCTGAAGAAAAAAACCCACTCCAATAGCAGAGGAGTTTTTATGTTTCTGATAGAAATATTGCTTGGGAAAAAGGAAGAAGGAGCAGGCAAGGAAAAGATGGCTAAAGGTGGCACATAACAGTTAAAAGGGAAAGAATAGGCCACATTTAAGGAATGTCACAGTTAAGGTTTATTTGGTATGTGTCAAATTTAGTATTATGTAAAGGTGAACTTGATTATTGCAAAATTGTATTTAACACAATGCATGTGAAATACTAAATTAGGTTGATGCTTGAGGGATACATGTGTGTGCAAATCGATTCTCCTGCACAAAGATATGTGAATTATTTGCTGCAATGTACAACAAAAGCATATCCTACTGAGGATGCTGCTCTGTAGGGGCTGAAACTGGTCCATGCTGGAGTTGCTCTTCTCATCAAGCACATGGAGGGAAATCCTGACCTTGGTTAAAATCAGCTCAAGGGCAAAAAAAAGTAACAGAATTAAATCTTCCTCATCTTGTTCACTGCAGTCACCCAAACTCATGAACTAACAGAAGAGATAATTGGACAAAAGGACTGGGTAGGACTATTGCTTTTAGTGGTGCCAGTTTAAGCAATCTTAAAGTATTTGAGAAAACCAGGCCTTTCAGGTATGCTACATTCTCAGGGGATACTGCTATATTTTTGTTTGAAGGTAATTCCCTAGCAAGGCTGAAAAACTTTGCACTGGAGGACAGAAAAGAGGATTTTGCTGCTTTAAATGGAAGAACCAGTTACAGAGACTTCCAGTTCTACATTAGAATGCTGATAGTAGTGTCAGTAAACAGTAATGGTGTGGAGTTTCTGTACCTGCTACAATTAGTGCAACACTAAAAAAGGCTTCAGGCCATGGGAATTCTGCATCCCCACAGGAAGATGTTTTTGCAAGGCACAGATTTCTTAGGCAGACTTCAATGCTGCATAAAGGCATCATTACAAATAAAATGAAAATCAAACTACAATTGTAGAAGAATCCTGGTTTTGTTCCAAAAATATTCTTCCCATGTTATAGACTAACAATGCAAGTTTCATAAAAGGAAGGGAAAAGGCAGATGCATGAATCTCTGGAAACTAATGCCCATGCAAGGATCAGTTTAGAAGATATCTCATTGCAAATATCCATGTTTATATCCAAAACAGAAAATCGCTAAACAGTTATGGTTTAAAGAACAACATTAAAGTACCACATCATATGCTGTACATTACACAATTCTTTGAGCCTTTCCCTCACCCCAAAACATTTTGTCAATATCTAGCAAGTGTTGTATGTCATCTAGCCCCTTCAGTATTATGGCTTTATAGTCCAAAGTTGTTGCATGCACTGAAACAAAGCTTCAATATCTATTCAGCTTTCTGGATATCTAGTCTAGTTGTGGCTACGTGCAGCATCTATAAAGCTTTCTGCAGTAAAACCCTAAGAGCTGAATCACCTAAAAGTGATACCAATTACCACTACAAAATTAAAATTATCATTAAAAAAAATAAATAAATATACATTATCTAAGTAAAACAAGTCCAAGAAGGAGGAAAAGGTTAGTAATGTTTTAATTATTTGAAACATTATTTAGCTAAACAATGTTTCAAATAGTAAACATATTTTAGCATGTTTTAAAAGGAGTTCTTCACACTTGAATTATTTAAACAATCAGCTTTTCACAATCAGAAGCATTTTGCATGCAATATGACCTATTCCAAAACATTAACATCTTATTCTAAAATTGTTTTTAAAAAACTCCTGGCATGTTCTACCCTGACTGAACACAAAGCTTGAAGTGATAACAAGTTAGCACAGTTAATGCAGAAGAAATACTTATGAGTTAGACAGCCCGCTTCTACTTTCACGATTTGATTAAATGCTAATCTTGTTAACAACAACAAGAAAAAAATCCTTATTAGATTTTGCATGAATAAATAAATAATAAATAACGAATAAATAATGAATAAATAA